CTAAACCCTAAACTAGTGCTGGGGGGCTTTGATTTTGGGTTGATGCATATCATGGTGTGCATGATGTGCACAATTCTGAATTCTGGGGTTGGTTGCTGGGGGTTTGCACATGCTAGATGTCAGCACCCTGCCCCAACATGGCAGGGGAAGGCTCAGGGTGCTTATGGCAGCTGATGCAGGTGGTGTGGGACAGAGGGATGCAGCTTGCTGCTGAAAAGCTGGTAAGCATGACAACGATCGACTTGGAGAGGGTAGCCCCGCAAGCCAGCCCCCTCTTCCTTAATTTACGCGGGCGTCACAGCCTGCGTAGTCTCTCTCTCTCTCTCTCTCTCTCAGAGGGATGCAGCTGGGCAAGCAGTGGTGGGGGGGGCTGTGTTGATTGAGGGTTCAAATTAAACCCTAACCCACAACACAAGTGAGGGGGATTTGGTGCAGCCCTCCACAGTGCTTGCCCCACCTTGCCATCCATTGGGCAGGTCCCAGACACCCCCCAGACGACGCCCAACGCGTTTAAGGACCAGGTGGAATGTCTGCAGCCGCCAGAACTTGCTGCCCAGTCATACAAGGGTTCAGATCTAAACCCTAAACCCTAAACCCTAAACCCTAAACCCTAAACCCTACCCCCTCAAGTTTGATTCTAGCTGGGCACCAGCCAGCCACGTCAGCACAGGTGACCGTTGGGCTCCCAACTGCCAGCGGTTTGTTGGGTCCCTAAATGGTGCTTCCAACAAGGCATGACTGGTGGAAGGAGGTTGAGTGCAAGCAGTGGCAACAGTGGATTGACTCCTGCAGCTGCACACAGCCAGCCCAGGTCAGGATGTTGAGGGGAGTGGGGAATGGTGGTATCTCAACATCTGACCAAAGTAATTAGGTAGGCAGCTTCCCCATGACGTGTACTCCAACTCCCAGACGTTGGAAATCGATTCCACCCATGCCCCACATCCACTTTGCCTTGGCTGCTGCAAGTGATTACTGCCAGCCCAAGTCAGAAAGTTGAGGGGCGTGGGATTCAGTGGGCTCTCCACATTTGACCAAAGTGAATGGCTCAAATGGAAGCCAGTGACGTGTACTCCAACTCCCAAACGTCGCAAATCACTTCCACCCACGCCCTGGAGGTGGTTTGGGTCGCCCTCAAGGTGTTGTGCACTCCAGCCCAGGGCTGCAGCAACCACTGAGCATGCAGCTGTGAAGGCCCCTCACTCTTTTTGGCATGACGTCATGGTGAGTGATGACCCATCATAAGGTGATGTCAGCACCAGCCACCCATGACTAAAGGGTCACTGCAGCTGGCTGGATCCACCTCATCAAGGGCTGGCTGGTGCGGCTGGTGCCAGTGCACAACTGCAGGTGCAACAGTTCTCAGGTGTGCAGGGCTTGACATCAGCATGGTGTCACTTGGGCGGTGTCACTAGTGACCCCTGACCACGTGGGTGTGAAGTGGTGACGTCAGCATGACTGCAAGGGGGTGAACCCACGTACCCTGACCTGCCCAACTAGGTTATCAATTCCAACCCCAAACCCAACCCCGGACCCAGAACCCAGAACCCCGCAAACCAAACCCCAAAAATCTCAACCCAAAATCCTGCATCTGGTTACTTTGCTACTACGGTAGTGGGCCGTGGCCGGGACATGCCTCAAGCCCGTACTGCAACCCGAAGCAGTGGGTAGGACAGCCTTGGTCTGGGTCTGAGAGTCCCCCCGAAGGGTACCAATTAAAACTGCCTCTCAGTGTGTAGCCCTCCACACATATGGGGAAAGAGCAAACACAACCCTAGAGCATGAGACCTCAAGCATGGAGTGTGGGCATGACAAAGGTTGAACCAAAGAGCGAGACACACGACGCAAGCACTCATGTTGCTGTCTGTAATACATGCCCATCCAACAAAGCGGGCATGTGGGAATGATACGGGGGACATAAGTTACAGATTTGTTCACTGCTGAGGTTTTGTGCTAATTGCAACCTTGCCAGTGTTATCCCCATCGCCCACGATTGTCTGGCATGCCAGCCGCCACACGTCCGGCTTCTGCAGCAAGGATGCATTGTTGGATAGGTGGGCCGAGGTGCTTATGCAAGCTGTATCGCCAAGCTATGAGGCATACATGTCTGCAGGGGAATCACGGCAGAGTCAGGTGCATGAGCATGGCGACAGCTGAGTCGTCGAGCATGGCGATGAATAGCGCAGCTCACCCCTTTGAGCTTGCGGTCCTCTGTCGCCGTCCGCTCCGACAACAGGTCCGCGCCACCCTCCACCTGTGCACAATGTGCATGCGGCAAAACAACGCGCTGCGTTGGTACTGCACAAGCAGATGTGCACCTGTTCTACGTTGCGCGTAGCCTGCTTGCTGAGCCAGCAGCGACGCTGTCCAGGCGCGTCAACCCCTGCAACAATATCGCACCTTCACAATGCACGTGCCGCACTGGCCAGCACCGCCGCAGCTCCAGATCTTTCCCCACGTAGTGTACAAATCAATCTATGTGCGATGGCACCGGGAGCGTACAGCAGCATGTGAACATGCTTACCGGTGCACCTAGCAGCTGTGGCTGCAAGTCGTGCTCATGCACACATCAATGCCCGCTATTCTTGCAGCTTGCACAAATGCATGCGCACGTGGCCCACCACAGCTTTAAGAAAATCTCGTGTGCAGGCATGGCCGCCCCAGGCCACGTCGGCCAGTACCAAAAATGGGCTGCTGTTGGTGCCGCTCTACCCACGCACGCACCTTGTTCTCCAGCATAATAGCGCGCAACTGCTCGCCACTGGGGCTGGTCACCTCTGTGTTGGTTCCATCCTTATCAGTAATGAATGTGATGCTGATTGACGGCTCAGTGTCGCCCTCCTCTGCCGTGGACGCTGCCCGCCATGAGCGCCGCTGCAGCAGTGGCCGCGGCAGCAGCAGGGCCCGTGGCGCTCCAGAGGCAGGCGCCCGGCAGGCCGCAACGCAGGACGGCTTGCTGTGTCCGCTCAATGCGCCACGTGAATTCCAGGACGCGAGTTGGTGCACCATGACTATTTCCAGGATCACTTCGACGAGATTTGGAAGTCCTCAGGAATTGAACGGTACACATTTATTTGTAGCGTGAACGATTGAATCATGCATGGTGGGGGCCAGTCAAGTGAGGCCTGGTCCGCAGCTTCTGCCTATCGCATTTGCGCGAGGTTGCGGGCGCCCGGGGGACATTGTCATCTGACTCATATGTGCACCATGACTTCCACCTACAAGTTCAAGTTTAGAGGCGTTTCAGGACTGCAGTAGTCTCTCCTTTGACCCAAGTCGCCGCAAGACCCGAGGCTTGTGTCCTAGTTGTGACGTAGTGTTCTACGTTCAAGCGTTCACGATGACGACCACCACGCATACCCAGCTCTACTCCCACGCAGCGGAGCCGAAGCCCGTGCAGCAAAGGCGAGGGAAGGTGGGCCTTTCCGCGCGTAAGCGCATGATTGAATGATTGAAAGGTTCACAAGCACGATTTTGACTGTGCATGGCAATGCCAACGGTGCACCTTTGTAGCAGCAGCAGCGGTAGGCATCGCCGTGATGCTGTGCGCGACGCCGCTGTGTGACGCACCCTACCAAGCCCATTTTAATGCGTCTCAAACCCGCATATTTTGCAAACAACAGGCTTCTGGAGAGGATCCTCAGCAGCCAGAGCTCTTTCCATCCAACATTATGTTTGACCGACGTGTTGTGCGTGGCAACACATATGCAGCACGCGTGCTGCCAGCGGAGCCTGCCATTCTAGGCAGTGGCAGCAGCGGCGGCAAGGGCGTCAGCACAGGGTAAGGGCGGTGACATGAGGGGAAACGTGGCTGAACGCATGAGGGCAGCAAGTGCCTGCTGGCTCCTGCTTTCGGCCCACCTCACCCTTCGCGGCTGCTACCTTTGTCACAGTGCGCGCAGGACGGGTGGGGCGCAGGCATTTGCGAGGACATCGGCGACGCCAGAGCCTGTTCAGGGGCGACGCCACATGGATATTCAGACAGGTGGGCCGCCTCCCGGAGTCAGGCCTGGAAGTGGCCTTGGGTGGCTGCACGGGTGTGTGCAATAATGCTTTTGAAACAAATGAGTGTCTGTCACATATTGGTGTCGTGGTTGCGCAACACACCAATTTCGCCCCATCGTCCTGCGCGTGCAGATGTGTACCTGGAAGAACTGGCTGACACCGCACCTGAGGCTGACTGTGTCACGCAGACTGATGCATTCCTGGAGCGGCCCCCGACACCGACATTTGTGCCACGGAAGAGTGGTGTGGATTCTGCAACACAAATTGAGCAAGGTATGTATGATGTGCTGGTGACTTTCAGGGAGCTTTTGAGCAGTACGGGTAGTACTTATATGATGACCCGCACGGCTTTGACAGTGTGCTTCCACAACCACCAGCACCTGGCAGCCAACCCTGCTGCTGGTTCCCTGCAATGACCTGCAGGCGACCTGTTTGACTTTGACGTGGAAGTGGAGCCCATTCTGGAGGTCCTGGTGGGCAAGGTGTTGGAGCAGGGCCTGATGGAGGTGCTGCAGGAGGAGGAGCTCGCAGCCATGCGGCGCCACCAGGTGGGGGGGGCTAGGCACCGATCTGTTGCGGCCAGTGGTATACAAAATGTAAGCTTGCGCGTGTACTGCAAGCGCGTGCATGCATTAACGCCTACGTGCCCATAAGAGGGGATAATGTTTCTGTCCACCTCCCAGGCACACTTTGAGTCTGTCCGTGCGGCAGAGTTGATTGCGGCGCAGCGCCTCGAAGCGGCCGAGCGACGGAAGCTAGAGGAACGGGAGAGGAGGCTGCGGCAGGTGGGTGGGCTGCACCATTGAAGGTCCTTGGACCCGCAGAACATTGCTGCCGGCCGCAGTCTCATGATGAAAACTCAATTATACACAAGTGTTCAATACCGCGCATACAACTGAACACGACAGGAGCGGGAGCGGAAGGAGCGCGAGCGCGTGGTGCGGGCCAAGGTGGCGGCAAGTGCGTTTGCGCGGGGCTACCTGAATGGGATCGTCACCAGCGTCTTCCAGAACCTGCAGGATGCAGGTGAGGGTGAAGCCTTGCGGGAGGGGGGACTATGGCTGTGGTACAGGAGGCTGTCGCCAGCGCGTGATCGGTGCACTCAACAACACACCAACAAAAGGGGCAAGCCCGCTGTTTTGGACTGATCCTTGACGCCAACACCTTGCGCCCAGGCTTTTTTGTGGATCCAGTGGAGCGCGAGGTGGAGGAGCTTTTCATGCCCTGGCTGCAGGCGGCCGCTGTGCAGCACCTGGAGCGCACGAGGGCCGCACATGCGGTTGTGCAGCAGCTTGTCGAGGATGCAGTCGTGCTACGCGCGGAGGAGAAGGCAGCAGCAATCGCCGCCGCGGACGAGGAGGCAGCAGCAGCTGAGGCAGCGGCAAAGCTCGCTGTCGAGGCGGCAGCAAAGAAGGCAGCAGAGGAGTTGGCTGCCATTCGCAGCCGGGCGGCCTTCATCCTGGGCGAGATGCAGCCCCCGCTGGTGGACGAGGAGCAGGCTGCTCAGGCGCGTGCTGAGCTGCAGACACAGGCGCAGAGCAATGTGGACGCAGCTTGGGAGGCCGAGCGCGCTCGGGTAGGCGAGGCAAGGCGCGCCGAGCTGGAGGCGGAGGCAGCCGCAGCGTCTCAGCAGGTGCGGCGGATTCAAAGGGAGAGAGCTTGGTTGGGGTGTTGACGGGTGTGCAAAAATGCTGGCAGGTGCATCAGCTGCCCTTTGACACCTGTGCTAATTTTTGTGTGTCGCAACCTGCGCGTCTTTGCTACCACGCTGCTCAGGCTGCCGAAGACGATGATGCAGCGGGGGCCGGCGACACTGCTGACGTGGAGGCAGAGGTGGCTGCGGCCATGGAGGCAGTGGCCAAGCCAGAGCCCATGAAGGTCACTGATGCTGATGTGTTGAACGCCCTGATTGAAAAGGGCGTCATCACTAAAGAGGCGCTGATTCAGGCGCTGGCGGTGGCGGCCCTGTCCGCCGATGATGGCCAAGCAGAGGAGCCTGGACTCGTGTGAATGCAGTTATCTAATGCACGCAATGTTGTAGTCGTGTTTGGCCCAAACGGCAGATGGCCGCTGCTTGTGAATCAAATCAATTGTGGGTTTTATGGTTTCTGTCTGGCTGTGTTGCGGTGCCGGCTTCTTGCGTTGGTGGCTTTGGCCTTGAGATGGCCTCTGAGGGGTTGAAGGTCCTCCACCCCGCCCCCACCCCCAACGTTGCTGCTAATATGACGTCAGACCCTGGTGAGCCTCCTCCGCTCGCCCTGCGCAACAGAACATGCATAATTCAAGCAGCACGGAACCGAAATCTGGACACCCATTGCCAGGTCAATGCATGCAAACGATACATTATGCTAAGGGAGAAAAAGACACCCTGCGGACCCGAGACCAAGGCAAACATAGCGCCACAAAGACAGCAAAAGGTTATGAGCACTCCAGAACGAAAAGCGCACGCAAGATGCAGCGCCACCCCCACGCAACTTTGAGCCGCCAGGCCAACGCTGCCATACTGCGCAGCGAGCACAAGCACCAGCGGACACGCGATCCTCGGCACGTGCCGCAGAAGACATCGCCAAGGCCAGCCCTCCCAAGCTGCACTCGACCTCAAGCCTGGCATCGCTAGGGCGCAAAACACAAACCTCATGCCTGTCCGAGCGTACCCAGTGTTGTGCTCGGCGCCTGCCGCAGCCGCGCTGATCGCCATGCGCCAGCAGAGCGTGTCGGGCACACCGCTGTGCAACATGACGAGCCGAGAACCCGGGCATAGAGAAAGCCCCTTGGCCTGCACTTGCGGCATACAAGACTCTGCTGCATAGGCATCAGCCGAGGGGCGGCAGCTTGGGCGAAGGCACAGGGCCTGCTGCGCAAGGCCGGGACGCTGTTGCCCTGGAGTGTCGCATGGTGACATTGGTGACTGCGGCTCCGGGCAGGTGTTCAAGTGGCAGTGAGTTTGGTGATCAAATGTGCAAGACACCGTTGTGCTTGGCATCTACGCGTGCTGTTTTGGGCTCACTTTCTGCGCGAACTGGGACTGCCACCGAACACCAGAGCTGTGAGCTGCGGACACTTACTGTGAGCTCAAATCGCTGGGCGCCTTACGCACATATGTGTTTAAGTGCCTGCTGCACGAAGTATACCGAGCTACCTTCGCTTGCGGAGCGACGCAACATTGCATTGCGCGCGCTGCTGCGGCGGCTCATTGCTTGTGCTGTCCCTGCGCCGTTCGCTGCCACCGGCCCCCCCGCAGGCGACCGCTTGAGGTATCTCCAGAAGAGTTTGTTTCTCATTGCCAAGCCGCTAAGGCGCATCGGATGTGGCAGCGGCTAGCAGCTGAGCTGCTTCGCAGCAGCGGGTGATTTTCGCCTCCGCTCTACAAGCTCTGATTAGCAGCGTGTGGCCAGTAGGGCCTGCGCTAGGATGCCACCTGCCCTGCCGAGCGCAGCAGTATCAGCATTTAGGAGCCAAGGCAGCCTGCAGCAATTGAGTGATGTGGTGGCAGCCCTGCAATCACACCGCATCGGCACCCCAGAATTGGGCGCGGCCTTCCAGCAAGTGGCTACGCTGCTTGCGCGCTTCAAGATCGCCAGCTCAGGGCGGCAGCACCGGCAGCAGCAGCAGCAGCAGCAGCAGCAGCATGAGGGCATCAGGCACTCAGGAAGCTTGAAGGTGGAGGGCGCCGCAGCCGCCCAGCTCCTTCGCCGGCTGGAATCCCCGCTGCGGCAGCACGTGGGCCTCCTAGACACGAGGCAGGGTCTGTCTGTCCTGTCTGCATGGGCGCGCTGCCGGGTGTACTCCCCTCCGGCGGACCTGCTGGAGCGTGTGGCAGGAAGCATGCAGCGGCAACTGGACGAGAGCTTGGACACAGCGCAGGCCAGCGATGCGACCTACTTGCAGCTGGCAACAATTCAGGGCGCACCAGCTGCTGTGGAGGCCCCAACACAAGCCAGTGGCCGGCTACCCTCTTGGCAGCAGGTCTTCACGCCGCTTTCCGCCGCAGCGCATCGGTGTCGACCCAGAGCGGACATCAAAGACGTCAGCAGCGGCGGCAGCAGCAGCAGCAGCAGCAGCAGCAGCAGACATAGCAGCAGGGGCGCCGGCAGCTCGCGGCTCGCCGCCTCGCCGCCAAGGCCGCTGGCAATGGACGTGCTGGATACGGTTACAGCGGCGTCAGTGGCTCTCGGGTTTATTGCGGAGCACAGCCCCACCCACTCCCGTGTGGCACTTGCTTGGGCCGAGGGCGTTGGCGTCACAGCCTCCGCTCTGCTCCAGCAGCAGCTGGATACGAGCGGTTCCTCGTCCGCGGCGCACAGCAGATTCAGCAGTGATGTTGTCGACAGCCAATCCGCTTGGGACGAAATGAGGAACGGCGAACAAAGCAGCGGCAGCGACGGCAGCGGTGTTGGCGGCGGTGGCGGGGGCCTCCCCCAGGAAGGGCAGCCATGCTACGACACACTGCAGCACACGGTTGCTCTGCTGGCCTCCAGCAGCCGGCTGCCGCACACAGGTGTGCTCAAGCAGAGGCTGCTGCAGCCCCTGCTTCAGTCGCTGCTTCCCAGCATACACCAGCTGGACGTGACGCTCGTGATCCGCACACTGGAGGCGCTCGCAGGGATGGAGGAGGCCGGCAACTACAGAGCAGCAGCCGCGCGCGATCCAAGTGCCTCGCCAGCGGGCGCCACCCGGCAGCAGTCGCGCGGCGGCTTGAGCGGCGGCTTAGCGGCGGCCTCACGCGACGACGAGCTCAGGCGCCTGTTGCGCCGGGCAATCCGCCCAGCGTCTCTGCGGTTGAAAGAGCTGGCGCCGCAGCTGACGGCGCCCCAGGCGGCATCGGCTGTCAGTGCCCTGGCGCGCCTCTGCGGGTCGCACCACAGTTTTCCTGGAGACAACGTGGCCAGCATACTCTCCTGCGCGTCGCAGCCGCTGGTGGCCATCGGCGACGCCCTCGCCACGCGGCCCCTGTCAGACCGCGTTCCGCCCGCAGTGGCGACCAAATTGGCCGGGGCCTATGCACAGATGATGTGCAGCCACGTGCCCCTGTTTGAGCACCTGGCAGGTCAAGTCTTGGCTGCAGGACTGGACGCTCTGGTGCCGTCGCAAGTGGCGGCGCTGGCCTGGGCCTTTGCCGCTACCGGCACGGCTCACCCCGCCCTCATGGACCAGATCTCTGCCTGGGCGGTGCCACGAGTGCGCACGTTCGCGCCGCAGCAGCTGTGTTCTCTTCTGTGGGCATGCGCTGCGTTGGGCCACGACAACCCTGCATTGCTGGCAGAGGCGCAAGCCGCGGTCGCATCGTGGCCACTGCAGCAAATGCACTGGTCACTCATGAGCCAGCTGCTGCAGGTGCACACCCTCTATGGTCTGATGCACGCCCCAAGCTACCTGGACGGGTGGTCAGAGCAGTTGGACGACGGCACCGGCAGCAGCAGCAGCAGCAGCAGCAGCAGCAGCAGCAGCAGCAGCAGCAGCAGCAGCAGCAGGACCAGCGGCAGCGCTGGACAACAAGCAAGCGGTACCGGCAAGGAGGATGGCGGTGGCCGCCAAAGTCCCGGCAGCCAGCATACCCGTGGAACGGCAGCGCCGCTGTTTGCACTGCCGGCCGATGCTCTGCCCGGGATGTGGGCGGCAGTGTCGAGCAGCCGCGACCCAATGCTGATCACTGGGTTCCAGCAGGAGGTGGTCCATGCGCTGCGCGCCATGGGCCTGCCCGTGCACTGTGAGGTCAGCCTGCTACAGGGCGCTATCAGCGTCGATGCTGTGGCCATCTTTGAGGGCATCGCAGTGGCGGTGGAAGCGGAGGGCCCCTGGCACTACACCCGCAGCACCCCAAAGCGGCGAAACGGCAAAAGTGCGCTGCGCGACCGGCTGCTGGCGGCTGCGGGGATCCCGAATGTGCATGTCCCGTTGCACGTGTGGGTGCGCCTGCGTGAGGAGGAGCGCACAGATTTTCTTCGTTGGTCGCTTGAAGAGGCACGTGCGCGCCACAGGGCGGCCAGGAACACAGTGGCGGCGTGACGGCGGGCACCTGTGGCACCAGCCACGGCAGCACAACCACCAGCAGCAGCGGCAGCAGCAGCAGCAGCAGTGACAGGACTACAGTCATCAGCAGTCCTTAGTGCAGAGTTTTCAGTGCGGCAGGAACAGCTGCAGCGGCCCATAGGCAACAGTAATCTAAAAGAGTTGTCATCGCCTGGTGTTCGAGTTGATTTTGAGAACAGAGGGCGTCGGGGCATTACATCAAGTATGCGTTCACGGCACTGCTATGCGCCAAAGCACTGCTATGCGCCATGGCGTGGTGCTCACACCATCGGCGGCAATGCTACACACTGACAGCAGCGCAGGCGGCAGGCAGCGCAGCGGTCAACACGCGCCGGCAACATGCTCAGGTGCCTCCAAACATGCAGTTCGTTTGTGATCGCTCTTTTAATTGTGACATCGGTGTGTACAGTATGGCGACACCGAAGGCGCTCACAGTCGGGGGCCTGGGAGCGGCCCCCACTCTGGAGGACGTAGTCCGCGTTGCCGGCGGGCTGCAGGTCGCGTTAGACACCGCAGGTGCTGATAGGATCAAAAAGGAGTCGCCTCCGCCCAAGGCCTTTGAGCTAGAGCCAGATCGGGAGACCGCGGCTGTCCGCGGCGAGCTCCTGGCGAATCAGCATGCCAGGGCGGTCGTGTTCGCGCGCCTGCTATCGATCATGAACGGCAAGACTGGATGCAGGCTGCAGGTCGTCGATTTCCTCAAGCAGCTGCTCAACAGCGGCAGTGCGCTCGCGCTGCGCGCGGGCACAGAGGCAGAGCTCACCAACGCCCTGGCCGACGCCTGCAAGGGCGCAGGCGAGGGCGTCGATGCCGCAATGCAGGCGGCTGGCATCGATCAACCGCCGTCGCTGAGCGCAGCGGAGCGCGTTGTGCTCACAAGTGGCGGAAGCGCCACGGCCGGCATCGGGGCGCTCGCCGTGACGTGGGGGCGCGGCCTTATTGACGCCGCCACAGCTGTCGCGGCGCTGAGCTGCGAGGCGTATGGCGCGGCCACTAAGCCGTTTGACGCGGATGTGATGGAGGCGGGCGGCCACAAGGCGGCGGCCGCGGCGGCGGACCAGCTGCGTGGCCTGTTGGACGGCTCCAAGTGCACGGGCACCCGCAAGGGCGCCACCCAGCAGCAGCTAACCCTCTTCTCGGGCCTCCCGCAGGTGGGTGGGCGCTGCGATGGGGGAGCTCCACCGGGTGGCTGGCACATCGTCCACGGCCGCGGTGGCGACGAGGCCTGGAATGGGGACTGACAGCCTGCACGGAGTAGAGCTTTGCGGCCGCCCATTCCCGTGTCTGAGCAGGGGCGCAACGCGAAGGCATGCATTGCACTCACACCCCTCACAATCCCTGCCTGCTGTGCAGCTACTGGGCTCCGCCAGCGACGCGCTGTCTGCGGCCTATGCGGCGGTGCGCGCCGAGATCCAGAGCGGCGCCCTCGCGCCGGTCAAGGGCGGCGCCCCAGCCGGCGCGAGCCCCCTCCTGGCCTCCACGCTGGCAGACAGCGCCCGGGCCTTGCTGGCCCTCGCCTCTGCCAGCCTAGCGCGCGCACAGCTGCTGGCGGAGGCAGCGGTGCCCAGCCCTGTGGCCGCGCTGCAGCAGCTTGCCAACTCCGCAGCAGGGGGCCCGCTCGCTGCTGCACGCTCCCGCCTGGTGGCCGTGAGCTCTGCGCTTCTTGATGCAGCTGTGTCCCCAGTGGCGGCAGGGGAGGGAACGGCTGGGCAGCAGGGCCCTTTCGCAGCGCTCGCAGCAGACGCGGCAATCGCTGTGGCAGTGGAGGCCATAGCTGTTGAGGCCTTGGCTGCCCTGGCAGCCCTGCGCATCCAGCAGGTACGAAGGGAGAGGTGACGGGGCCATGCAACCCCTGCAGCCTGATACGCGCTGCTGCAGCTGCACTTGTCTGCATGCTGGCCTCGCCTCTTTGCCCTCCTTGAACCCAACCAAGGCACGTGTCAAGTACCCAGGTCAAACAGGCGGCTGGAACCCCCGACCCCCAACTCGTGCAGGGGCCTGAGCCCGCAGACGGAGCAGTGGTGGAGGCTGAGCAGCCAGGCGGGAGTGACAAGGCGGCTGTCAAGAAGAAGGCCAAGAAAGGGGCGGCGGCTGGGCCCGTGCCAGGCAAGGGCACGGCCATCGCACGTGCAGCCCTCGAGGCCACGGCCGCTGGCGACGGGTCAGCGGTGCTGCCGCTAGCAGAGGGTGGTGGCGGCCTGGCAGAGTCGTTTGAAGCTGGGGCGGCGGCTGTTCGGCTGGCGGGTGTCCTGGATCCCCGGGGTGGCGGCCTGGGGCGGCTGCTGGAGGAGCTGCGCGCTGTGGTGGAGGCCAACCAGGTGGGGGGCAACAGAGGCTCGTTGGGCGGGTGAGGTAGCCATGAGGCGTGAGTGCTCCGTAAGGGATCGTGGCATGCTAGCAAGCCTGCGCCTAGACCCCGAAGGATGAACAAGCGAGCATCGACATGCGCGCACATGAACAGATATCTGAAGCGCGCACGCGCGCGCCGACGCGCGCACACACACACATACACACGCATACACACACACACACACACATCGCACAAACACACACCATGTTTCCAGGCCCGCCGCAAGCCCAAAGTGGCCAAAGGGGCGCGCGACTTCCTGCCAGACCAGATGGCCATCAGGGAGGCGGCCTTTGGCTCTATCGCAGCTGTGTTCAAGCGCCACGGCGCCGTCAGCATCGACACCCCGGTGTTTGAGCTGCGGGAGACGCTGACCGGCAAGTATGGGGAGGACTCCAAGCTCATCTACGACCTCGCAGACCAGGTGAGGCCGCAGCTGCGCATCATGGGGCCAGATGGGCAGGGGCGCCGGCCGGCAGGCGTCTCGCAGGAGGGTGCCCACCAATCTTGGGGTGGCTGGCAAGTAAGACGCAGCTGCATAACTGTTCGCAATCTTGGCCGTCCAGCGCCCTATGCCTCACTCGTGACGTCGATTTTGTTCCCAACCTGCCCCCCCCCCCCCCCC